TATAAATTTACCGGTGTTTACGTACACAATTAGAAGTAACATTTTTGTTTTGGCATAGTTTGACCCCTCTAATGATCTGAGGGCCCTGTTTTTTCTTGCCGGATTGGAAATACTTGCGTCGAACAATTAGTGGGCTCCATCTCACTAATTATGGGCTCAAGTATCGCCAGTCTAATTATCCAGTTTGAACTGATAAACAATTTTTGCCGCACTTGTAATTAAGATCTCTACTTAAAAAAGAAGATCGTAGTAACAATTATTTGTTCCACAGATGATGACGTTGTCAGTCTTATTTGTGGTACATCTACTCAAAACCATGCTCCGTCAAAAGCCACAAAAAATAAGTAATTTAAAGTTGGAGATCAAGCCGAGGAGAGCGGATAAAAAGCTTATCGAGAACAGAGTGACCGGCCTCTTTGTGGTGGCAGGACTTGTTGCTGCTGTGGCCTTTTCTGGTGCTCTTCAAATCCCCGGTAACGGCGCTGATGAAAAAGGTGGCTCCAAGAACAACAGCGCCACATCCAACCTTGCCACAGCTCGATGGTGGTGGTCGTTACCATCTTGAAAGCAGCCCGTGGAGACGAAGCTGGAGAGGAAGCAAATGGAGATATACTTACGAGTATTCATTTTCTTCGACACTTTAGCCCTCAACCTGACAATCGTGGCTGCTATAATCCTTTGTTGGGTCCAACTGGTTGATGTCAACCTAGCATCATTCTTTGTCTGGGTCGCATCACTCATTGTGGGTTCTCCTTATACACATTGTGTATGGCTTTTGGATTTGCCCTTCTGCTAGGACTCAAAAACAACGCTTCCTTTGGCTCGGGTATGATCATGGTGGAAGGCTTGCTTCTTATAGTAATGACAGCGCTGGTTGTTCCATTGTTCATCCCTTTTGGATACAATTATCTCTTCGTCCGTGCCCTCTATTTCCCTGTCTTTATTGCTTACTTTGTTCTTAAAAGGGTCTTGGATTTCTGCTGCTGTTGCTGATAAAATATGGAAGATTTATTTTTGTATTCCTTAAACAGTATGTACAATTACTAGTTTATATACAAGTAAAATACCAAACTTAGCTAAACTAAAGCCTAAAATAATGGTAACAGAAATATTTGAAGAATTGAGTTCCTGGATATCTGGAATATATCTATTTTCTGGTATAACTAAAATCTGGTAGCTGGTATCTGGTATAGCTATCTGGTATAGCTAATATTACTCCCCCTCAAGCTGGAGCATGAAAATCACGAATGCCCAGCTTGCCATGAAGAAAATGAAAACTGTCTTTACTCAATGCCTTGGTCAAAATATTAGCAGGTTGATGGGAAGAGGAAATCGGCAATGGATATAGAACACCAGCCAATAATTTCTCATGAACAATATGATAGTCAATTTGAAGATGCTTTGTTCGCTCATGGAACACAGGATTTGCTGCAATATGACGAGCAGCTTGATTATCACAATAGAGTGGCGTAGGACGAGAGAGATGGATGCCAAAATTGGAGAGTAATCCACGCAACCAAACTATGTCCTTGATGGTTGTGGCCATAGCTTGATACTCTACCTCTGTTAAGGAATGAGACACAGTACCCTGCTTTTTGCTTTTCCATGAAATGGGACTATCACCAAGAAGAATGAAATAACCTGTGGTGGAACGCTGAGTTGTTACACAATTGGCCCAGTCAAAGTCACAAAATGCTCTTAATTGAAGAGAACTTCGAGAAGAAAGAAGAATGCCTTGCCTAGTAGTTTTCTTCAAGTAACGAAGCAAGCGATGAGCAGCATCAAGATGAGGTTGCCGATGAGATTGCATAAACTAACTTAATATATTGACAGTAAAACAAATGTTCGGTTGGGTAATGGTGAGATATATGAGCCGGCCAACTAATCTTCAGTACATGGAAGGATCCTCCAATAAGGAACCATCAATGGGGGTAAGTTTCAAATTCTGTTCCATGGGAGTCTTAGCAGTTCGGGTGCCTAAAAAACCAGCATCAGTAAGCAGATCAAGAGTATACTTTCGTTGGCATAAATAAATACCTTGGGAAGAACGAGCAACTTCAATGCCAAAGAAGTATTTGAGATGACCCAAGTCCTTGAGCTTAAACCTACTGAATAAGAACTACTTCACTTCAGTGATCAAAAGATGATTGTTCCCTGTGATGATCATATCATCAACATACACCAAAATATGAACAGAGCCAAAACCTCGAGTCAAAAAAAAAAAAAAATAGTGAGTGATCTGCATATGATTGTTGAAACCCCATGTCAAGTAAAGTAGTAGAAAATTTAGCAAACCACATGCGAGATGCCTGCTTCAAGCCATAAAGAGACTTATGCAATTTGCAAACGAGATCTTTCTCCCCTTTTCGAGGATGCCCCAGAGGTAAAGTCATGTAAACCTCTTCATATAAATCACCATGTAAGAATGCATTTTGGACATCTAATTGATGCAAAGACCACTGTTTCACAGCTACAATGGCTAAAAGAACATGCACTGTCACTAGTTTAGCAACCGATGCAAATGTATCATGATAATCAACACCTTCCACTTGATTAAATCCCTTGGCAACAAGACGAGCTTTGTATCTTTCTATACTACCATCAGACTTGCTTTTAATTTTGAATACCCATTTGCATCCAATAGGCCTTTTATCTGGTGGCAAAGTGACTAAAGACCAGGTGTTAGTGTCTTCCAAAGCAGTAAGCTCAACTTGCATAGCTTGTTGTCATTCAAGAAACTTTATAGCTTGATTAAAAGTAGTGGGTTCAATAGCAGAAGATAAAGAACTAAGGAAAACACAATGTTTAGAAGTGAATCTAGAATAAGAAAGACATTTGTCAAGAAAAAAATTCATACCTGGAGACGTAGAAGCTGATTGATCTTAAGCGTTGAAGCAATGATAGTCCTTATATTTGGATGGTGGTTTAATGTGACGTTGAGAACGTCTTAAAGAAGGAACATGGTTCTTTGGTGTATTGGAGCTAGCACTCAAGTCAGAATGGTCAAGAAAGACATTGTCATTGACTTCTTATGTTTGTGTTTGTGTTTGTGTTTGTGAAGGGATAGATGAGGACGCTGTTGGTTCATGGGTGTTATTTGGAGACAAATTTGAATTAATGAGATTTGGATCATTGATTGGAATAGGCAGAGACCTATCATCCTTAGTCACAAAAATGGATGGAAACACACTTTCATGGAAGACAACATCTTTACTCACATAGACTCGTTGAGTGGAAAGATCAAAAATTTTATAACCTTTTTGACCAAAAGGATACCCAATGAAAATACCAAGATGAGCACAAACATCAAATTTGTGTTTAATGTGGGTGTTTCATGCAAAACAAAGACATCTAAACACACACAAATGAGAATAAGAAGGAACTTTATGGAATAGCACTTCGAAAGGAGTTTTTCCATTAAGTACCTTAGATGTTGTGCGATTAATAAGGTAAGCTGCAGCAAGAATACACTTTCCCCATAATTTAACTGGAAGTTTGGATTGAAATTGAAGAGCTCAAGCAACATTTAACAGATGTATATGCTTATGCTCTACAACACCATTTTGTTGAGGTGTGTCCACACAGCTATGTTCATGAATAACCCCAAGTGAGGTAAAAAAAATCAATAATTGCATGATTAAAAAATTTTGTGTCATTGTCACTACGAACACGACGTATAATAGAGTTAAACTATGTTTGCACCATGGAAAAGAAATTTCGAAGTATAGAAAATGTTTGGGACTTATGTTGCATTAAGAAGACCCAAGTATTCCTAGAAAAGTCATCCACAATAGTGAGGAAATAATGAGCTCCAGTAAGTGATGGAGTTAAATATGGTCCCCAAATATCTAAGTGAATTAAATCAAAACAAGCACTCGTTGAAATGGAACTAATGGGAAAAGATAAACAAGTATGTTTTGCCAAAGGGTAAACTGTACAATGACATTTATTAGAAAGAGAAATACTTCGATCTAGATGAGACAAATGAGGTGCAATACTATGACTAGGATGTCCAAACCTGCAATGCCAAAGATCCAATGATAAGGAAGTTGCAGTAAGGGAGATTATTGGAGGCATTTTATTGTTGATGTCAAGATAGTAAAGTTCATCATGCTCCTTCACTAAACCAATCACCTTCCTCGTCACTAGGTCCTGGAATACACAAACAGTAGATAGAAAAAGAACTAAACAATAAAATGACTTAGTAATTTGACTAACAGAAAGGAGATTAAACTTAAAGGTTGGCACAAGAAGAACATTTTCTAGATGTAAAGAAGAATTGAACTGTACAAATCCAAAATGGGTGGCTAATGAATACTCTCCATTGGGTAATTTAACAGGTAAATCTTTATATGTTTGTGCAATTTGTAAACAAGAAAAACTACTTGTGACATGAGTAGTACAACCTGAGTCAACAACCCAATTTTTATGAGAAAAACTACTATCATTACCTGCCATGTTGACTAGAGGGTTAGAGGTATTGAGAGTACTTGGTTGAATGAGTGCAAGAAGCTGCTTGACTTGATCCTAAGTGAAAGGCTGGTTCTGGTTTAAGCTTAATGCATCTTGGTCAATTGCTGCTGCCACATGGCGATTTGAGACACTTTTTGGAGAATTCTGATTATGTCTCAAGTTGCTAAACTTTTTCCGAGTATGAGGCTTTTTGAATTCTCACTTGTAATGAGAAGTATGGAAACTTTGATTCCCCTGTTTCTTCCAGCACCGTGTCTCTGTGTGTCCATCTAGGCCACAAAAGTCACAATGATAGAATGGTCTTCCATTTCCAGTCCTGAACTGTTGATTAGAACAAGCAAAATCTTGCGTGTTGACAACTACCATGGCTGACTGCTCTGGATATGGCAGTGAGGAAATAGATTGAATAGATCTTTGCCTCTCATCTTGAATAGATCTCTACCTCTCATCTTGAAGAACCAAAGATAAAGCATTTTAAATAGTAGGCAGTGGGTTCATCAAAAGGATCTGACTCCTTAAGTTGCTATAAGATTCATTGAGGCCCATGAGAAATTGCATCAACCGATTTCGTTCATCTAAAGCACTAATCTCCGTTGTTGCCTCACATGTACAGGCTGGATGTGGATTATAAATTGCTAGTTCATCCCATAATCCTTTCAAAACTGTATGATAATTTGTGACTGAATCATTCCTTTGCAAGTGATTCACAATTGCTCTCTGAGTCTCAAAAATCCGCGATGCATTGAACTGAGAAAATCGATCTTTTAAATCGATCCAGACATCACGAGTAGTCTTCATAAACACAACACTATTTGCTATGTCTTTTGAAAGTGCATTCAAAATCCATGAGAGTACCATGCTGTTGCATCTACTCCAAACTGTAAACATGGTAGAATTTGATGCTAGTTCATTGATTGTTCCATCAACAAATCCTAGCTTGTTCTTCGCTTCGAGTGCCATGGTCATTGCTCGGTTCCATGTAGGATAATTATCACTTGTTAATGGTTGCATGACTAGCACTATTCCAGGACTATCTAAATGATGCAAATAAATGGAGAGTTAGATGAATCTGTTTCACTACTGAATGTGTCTTTAGGGGCTGTAGGCTTTTTAGGTAAATCTTCTCCGTCGAACATATTGAGTATTTAGAAAAAAAAAAAAAGATGGAATAAAAGATGAAACATGTAGGATGGAAACTTGCTCTAATACCATGATAAAATATGGAAGATTTATTTTTGAATTCCTTAAACAATCTGTGCAATTACTGTTTATATACAAGTAAAATACCAAACTTAGCTAAACTAAAACCTAAAATAATGGTAATAGAAATATTTGAAGAATTGAGTTCTTGGATATCTGGAATATATCTGTTTTCTAGTATAACTAAAATCTAGCAGCTAGGATCTAGTATAGCTATCTAGTATAGCTGATATTAGTTGCCAACAGGGAGTGTAGCATAACATGCATGATATAAATATGCATACCTTCAAGGTAAAGGGCTTGGGATAATGTAAATAAACAAAATTAGTGATATTGTCAGAAGTTCTCAATTTTTTGTTTCTAGTGTGTTGCCGAAGATTTTTTTTTTTTTTTTT